CAAGAAACTCATCTTCTTTCTTGTCATCACCCTCTGCAATCTCAGCCAAGTCAAGCTTTTCTGCAAACTCTTCATCCAAATACTCAGCAGCTTGATATAACTCAAATACCTCGTCATTCCAGTGACTTAGTTTGCTTTCACTTTCAGCCACTGCATTCAATTCTCCATGATGATACCAGTCACACCGCATCTTATAAGCTTCATCCATTCCCCTTGTTACAAGATGATCAACAACTACACTACCTAGGTGACGATCTATATTACGACAATCAATGCAAGGACATATAATCATATCGACGTCTCCCAAAGCTGCAGCCACAGCCCGTACAAACTTTGTAGCCCCTCTCTCATAAGCAGGATCAGCTCTTCATTGCAGAATAAAAGGGGAAAAAAAGAAGAAGTAAAGTCTCTGAAACCCCTACTGAAACCTAACCTATATAATTAAAGTCCTTACCTGCCAAGATGCACCCAATCCTTGTCCAACATTATATGTTGATACCGTAATATAAACCTTTAATACCATAAGCAATTAACTCAAAATATATTCAGACCAGTAAACAAATAACTCATACATATATAATATTCAATCAAAGCAATCTCAATAGTTCAATATCAGATTATATAAGTACACTAACTCAGTTATAGTAGCATATTTAAGACAAATTAAACTTAAAACAAAAAGCATGGTTATCAATCAAAAACCATATAAAAGAAACTAGAAACATGGTACTAACCTGTCCTCATATATAGTAACATAACCAACAAGACATCAACAGTAATGTACTAGATTAAGTGTTTTAAATCTCAATAATTTAATATCAGACAAGATAAGTGCAGTAACTCAACTTTAGTAGCATATTTAAAACAAATAAAACTGAAAACAAGAAACACTGTAATCAATCAAACTCATATGCTAGAAACAAGAAATACGGTACTAACCTGTCCTCATATATAGTAGCATACACAACAAGACATTCACAGTAATGTATTATAATCAAAAAAACATGGTAAACAATCAAACTCATGTAAGAGAAGATGGTACTAACCTGTCTTATGATGATAAGAGCAAATGATAAGCTTCAAAGTCCCATTATTTCACTCAGCAAAACTTGCAAAACAAAATTATAGAGTGGGTATAAGGTTATGCAAGAAAGTGAATCACTGAAAGTTTGACTAAAAAAAATAACTTAATCGATCTAACAATAAAAACAAGATTCAGACAACAAACAAGGTAGAATACAAAAAAAAATCTGAACTTTAAACCTGATAAATTTGCCAATCAAACGAAAGAGATAAACACAATCTTAGTAAGAAACAAAACTGGAAAAAGGACAAATACTAGACGCAATTCACTGCTCAGTTCTGCAATTCACTGGAAAAACGCAATTCACTGCTCAGTTCTTGTTTCTTTTTCAAAGAACTAAAAAATCAGATACAAGTTATGATGTCAGAAGAAACACAAGTTATGATGTCTGAAGAAACACAAGTGAACATGCCAGTTATGATGTTTGGTTTTGTTTAGGGTAAACACAAGTAAGGCGGAATCCAACATAGCAAAAACAGATTATTAAGGTATTGAATTAACAATCAAGAGAATATATATGACAATATCAAAACACAATTTCATAGCAAGTTTATACTCAATTTCTATCTGACAATAACGAAAAGAAGATCCGAATTACATAGCACATATCCAAGTTTTTAAAGAAATTTCGTTCAAATACGCCTAAATCAAACCACAAAAACAATAATGTTATGAAATCGTTCTGAAATCGCAAATAACAGAGGCATGCAAAACAAGAATCGATTAGACTGACCTAGATTTGAGCTACCTATAACATCAGACTTGAGCTAGATTTGAGCTACCTAGAACATCAGACGTGAGCTAGATTTGAAAGAAACAGACCTAGAAAAAATCCGAAAAAGAAGAAAAAATCAATTGAATAAAGGACATGCCTTCGATTTGAGCTCAAATCCGACAGATCTAAGGCGGAATTAGTGCCGGCGTCAGGTTCAGTTTCACGGCGACCTTCAACGGCGGCGGCAGAGGGCTTAATCGGCGATTGGGAGAGTCAATTCGTCGGTCAAAGAGAGTTATGGCTGATAGAGTTCTGTCTTAGGGTTTTCGAGAAAGAGGGAAAACGCGTCTTTTGGCTTAAGTGTTTTTTGGGAATTCTGACTAAGTGTTTGGCGGAATTAGAGATTTTGGGTTCCCGCTCATTGAAGTTCTATCTTAGCGTTTATGAAATGCTATCATATAACAATCATAATTACATAACATCTTCAATAGCAGTTTGGTAAACCGTGCTATTACGGTATGCTATCAATGAGGACTTTTTTTGTAGTGTACCTAAAAGCACTAATCAAAATCGAAAGGTGATAATGGAGGTGGAGAAGACATCATTCTCATATAATCATCTCCGCATACTCAGCTTTTGCTATTTATATTATCCACCGTTTAATTAAACCTCTTTAGACACACCCATCATCGTTTTTCAATTTTTTTTTGTTCTCTCGGGAATGATCATATTTTAAAAGTAGATTTTAACTAATAAAAAAAACATGTTAAATTTATTTATATACAATAAATAATAATAATACAAAATCAAACCATATTAGATTTTATTTTAGTATAGCATATTTAATAGCTCAACAAGTTTAAATAGATTTATTTGACTATTTCGAGGATTATGATACTAATTTAGTTAATATTTTAATGGATCACTAGCCTATCTTTAAAGTTTTCTATACGTCAATACATGTATTTGCAACGATTTATTAAGGCATATGAATGTGAATGAAGTAATGAAGAACGTGATTAGGGTCCTACTTGATTCAAGCAATAAAACTAATCGACATCACACCAAGACGCAACCCCAACCCCAACCCCAACCCCAACCAACAAACTCTAAATTTGTCTGATTTAGAATAAATATATCGTTACTATAGAGGAACGAGTGTGACTTTAATAGTAAGACTTGTTCAAAATATTAAATTTATAAATCAATGATTTACGATCATTAAGAAGAGATTTATGACTTTAACATTGTGTTGGATTTTAACAAACAAAAAAAAGAAGTTATATTCAATATTATAGAGTAATTTGAAGTTGGATATTTTGTTTTTTTTTTTTTGAGAAAAGAAGTTGATTTTGTAACAAAAAAAATAGTTACTTTTTACTGGTGGGTCCAAAAGAATTGAGTAAAAAAATTTGTTTGCTTTGTGTTGTATTATAGTGAACATGTTGGCTTTGATTGGTGAACAAAAATAAAGTATTACTTCAGTTTGTCCAAAAAAAAAAAATAATAAAATAAAGTATTACAAGTGGTACAACTTTTATTTTTACCGACTACAAAAGTTTTATCAAAAGCGTTACTAAAAGTTTTACTCTCAACTTTCTCGTACAATTCTGTCATATAATTTGCACTATTCCGGTAAAGTTTATAGCTCCAGCTAACAGCTAAAAAACTTGTACAGTTTTTGGTTACCAATCAGACCCGTTAAGCGGTATGACTAGCAATAAATTTATTATTGTTGACCAAAAATATTTTCTTTTTAATAATTAAAATTTTGTATTTGACACTTTTGGTAAGTTAATAAGAGTGATATGACTAGCAATAAATTTATTAGTTGTTGACTCAAATTGGTATATAATGTATAATGAGAAATTATCAATGAGAAATATAAGTAAATTTTAACAATGGGTATACATGGAGTAGTAAATAAGTATGCGAAATATTTACCTTTTTGGAAAGCCGGTACGTGAAGATCCTCTACAGCTCGACTCCCAGTATAACGCTTCGGAGAATCGTGTCTCTCAGCCATTTCTTGAACTTTCTGATTGGCAATTAAGCATTCAAAGTTGGTAAAGCATTTAATGCATATCTACAAAGTGGTGTCAGCATCACATCATTCGACTCACACTCTCCTAACCACATAGAACAGATGAATTGATAGTTAATTAGTTATGCATCCTTGAAATCCACAAACATCATACTAGGTTTGATATCTTTTGACCAAATTCTGAACCGCACCACCACATGTCCACATCTTCTCTTGTAAAATCAGCTCTGCTTTCAATCATATTGTTTCCTTCTTGTTTGAGAGTTAAGGAGTATTCAGAAGGACAACATTTTTGTCCTCCCGAAAGTCATTTTGATTGTTCATTTGGTTTAGAAGAGCGATGAGAGGGCTGAATCCGAGGTAAAGAGTCTCTCGACTTGACTAACAAACAATCTAACTTGGTCCACGCTCAAGTGGTCGAATCACCTAACATACGCTCAACAGCATGCAATACAACACAAGCAATGTCCCCCATAACAAAAATTTTGACCCTATGATGGAAACCAAAAATTTGTCCCAAACATATGCCATAAACAAATGTAAAATGTTAAAGTAGAACCTAGTGTTTGGAAAGGGACTCTATTCTTTCTTCTACCCCAAAGACAAAATAAAAAGATATGTAATAGAAATGATGACAAGAGAGACAAAGCAAACCAAAAGAAAGGTTTTAAAATGTAATAAATTTCCAAAATCAACGCTCCTTTTTGTTCCCACTTTAACTTTTCCCACTCTCAAATCATTTTACCTTTGGATTTAAGCCTCATGACACTTTTTCTTTTCCTCATACTTTTTACACCATTCTCTATTTTGTTGCTACTCATCTCTTATCAAAACATATTTAACTTGTCGACTTCACCTTCACTAGCTAGTAGCTACCATTGTTTAACTTTTAATTTTTAATTCGTATTTTCTGCTCCAACTTTGTAGAGAATCTGTTGTTATCTCAAAGAAAAGAAGTGGCTAAATTCACGTTTGACAATGTTGCTTGAAAAAGGTTTGATCTTGAAATTTCAAAAGAGGGAAAAAAGTAAAGGAGAAAAATTTGGAGAGACACAAGAAGTGAGTCAAGGGACCCAACAACAAAGACAAAGACAAAAACTTTGGATTTTGCCAAATACTATGATTAATGCTCATTCAACACTCCCATTACCATTTCCATCATCATCATTTCTCTCTCTCTGGTTTTGGAAATTGCCTGAGAAAAAAAACTAACCATAACCATCTTCTTCTTCTTCTTTCTCTTGTTCTTGAATCTTGAACATAATTCTATTTCATGGAAAAGCATCATCATCAGCATCTTTTGTTACAGCATCATCAACATCTCCACCATCACCAGAAGCTCTCTCTTGCCAAATCTTCTAGACAAAGCTGTAGTGAATGGTATGTTCTGTTCCCTTTGTTCTCTTGATGAGTTCTGTGATCAAGAAACCAGTGTCTTTATATAACTCTGTCTCAATCTTGCTAATGATGTTCTTTCTTGCAACTGTTTAGGATCTTTCGAGACGTTCCAAGTGATATAACCATAGAAGTTAATGGAGGAAACTTTGCTCTGCATAAGGTATATTCATACTTATAACACAACCATCACTTCTTTCTCATGTAAACCATTACTGAATATGTTTTGCTTCTCCATTTCTCAGTTCCCTTTAGTCTCTAGAAGTGGAAGAATCCGAAGAATAGTTGCAGAACATAGAGATTCAGATATCTCCAAAGTAGAGCTTCTTAATCTTCCAGGAGGAGCAGAAACATTTGAATTAGCAGCCAAATTCTGCTATGGGATTAACTTTGAGATCACTTCTTCAAACGTTGCACAGCTCTTTTGCATCTCTGATTACCTCGAGATGACAGAAGAGTATTCCAAAGACAACTTGGCTTCAAGAACAGAGGAGTATCTTGAGAGCATTGTGTGCAAGAATCTTGAGATGTGTGTTCAAGTCTTGAAACAATCCGAGAATCTTCTCCCTCTTGCAGATGAACTCAATATCATAGGTAGATGTATCGATGCCATTGCCTCGAAGGCTTGCGCTGAACAGATTGCTTCGAGCTTCTCACGGTTAGAGTATAGTAGCTCAGGGAGGCTTCATATGAGCAGGCAAGTGAAGAACAGTGGTGATGGAGGAGATTGGTGGATCGAAGATCTTTCGGTTCTTAGGATTGATTTGTATCAGAGAGTTATGAATGCAATGAAGTGTCGTGGTGTGCGTCCAGAGAGTATAGGAGCTTCTTTGGTTAGTTACGCCGAGAGAGAGCTGACAAAGAGATCTGAACATGAACAAACCATTGTTGAGACGATTGTTACACTTTTGCCTGTCGAAAACCTCGTGGTTCCAATCAGTTTTCTCTTCGGGTTACTGAGAAGAGCAGTGATTCTTGATACTTCAGTTTCCTGCAGGCTTGATCTAGAGAGAAGGATCGGTTCTCAGCTCGATATGGCGACTCTAGATGATCTCTTGATCCCGTCTTTTCGTCATGCAGGAGACACTTTGTTCGACATTGACACGGTTCATAGAATCTTGGTGAATTTCTCACAGCAAGGAGGAGATGATAGTGAGGATGAAGAGTCTGTGTTTGAATGCGATAGTCCACATTCGCCTTCACAAACTGCCATGTTTAAAGTGGCAAAGCTTGTAGACAGTTATCTTGCTGAGATTGCTCCTGATGCTAACCTTGACCTTTCTAAGTTCTTGCTTATCGCAGAAGCCTTACCGCCTCATGCTCGTACCCTTCACGATGGTTTATACCGTGCCACTGATCTCTACCTTAAAGTAAGTTTCTACACGACAACTTTTTACTTTCTCTTGTTGTGTTGATACTTAAACTTAGGCTTTATGCTCTCAGGCACATCAAGGGTTATCAGATTCAGACAAGAAGAAGCTGTCAAAACTTATTGACTTCCAGAAACTCTCACAAGAAGCTGGAGCACACGCTGCCCAAAACGAGCGGCTTCCTCTGCAATCCATAGTTCAAGTTCTCTACTTTGAGCAACTGAAGCTTCGAAGCTCCTTGTGCTCTTCTTACTCGGACGAAGAGCCAAAGCCAAAGCAACAGCAACAACAGTCATGGAGAATCAATAGCGGAGCTCTCAGCGCAGCAATGTCGCCCAAAGACAACTACGCGTCTCTAAGGAGAGAAAACCGGGAACTGAAGCTCGAGTTAGCTAGGTTGAGAATGAGACTCAACGACCTAGAGAAAGAACATATCTGTATGAAGAGAGATATGCAGAGATCTCATTCGCGCAAATTCATGAGCAGTTTCTCAAAGAAAATGGGGAAGCTTAGCTTCTTTGGGCATAGCTCTTCAAGAGGATCAAGCTCTCCATCAAAGCAGTCTTTCAGAACAGATTCAAAGGTGATGGAAAGAACTTGCGCAAGCACAGATTAGCTCAGGTTATATCATTCTCTCTTACCTGTTGCGGCTTTTTAAGCGAGTGCAAAGACAAGACTTGAGATTAGTGTGTGAGTGAGTGATATTTTCAACTATCGAGTTCGACTTTGTAAATGGATTTGATTTATATAAGACAACAAAAGGTAGATGACTTAAAATCAAAGGTCTCTCAGTTGATTGCAATAGAGAATATAATGATGTCTTACAAGACAAACAGAGGTAGAGACAGAGTTTTACCACGTCGTATACAAGCAATTCACTTAGGCCACAATTCAATCCTCAAGAAGAAGGAGTCTTGGTCTTAGTGTAATACCGGATGCCGAAAGCCAACCCTAAGATTAGAAGAGGAACAAGGAACTGAAGGAGCTTAATGACAAATTCCGAGCTCTTATCCTGATTAGCCTTGACTGTCTTCGAAGTAGGAGGCACAAACTTAGCTTTAACTGGGACAGTAGCTGTGTCAATATCACCCACATAGTACTCATCTAGCATGGCTTTCGCAGTCGAACTATGTCCCACATCCTCGAAATCATCGGTCGCATCTTTCCCTGAATACCAACACATTCTTGTAAACATAAACATGAACTAACAAACCAAAAAAGTAATCTTTATGTTACCTGTAGAAGTCAAGATAACCTCATCACCACCAGGATGATCATCCAAGAACTTTGTCACATCATAAACCTATATATAACCATCAAAACGAAACACACACAAAAAATGTAAACTTTGTCATTATAGATCACTAAACCAAGATGGTTTTCAAAGTTTCACACATCAAACATACAAGAACCTCACTAGCTCACTAGATTTACCCACAGATACAAGATCATACAAATACATGAAATGGCTTCTTAAGCAGCACCAACTATCACATTCAATTACAAAGACTAAGTTTTTAGCAATTCTCTGTGATTTAGACATAGCAAACAAACACAAATCTCATGTATCAAAGACAGAAATCAAGTGGGTTTTCAAATTTTCACACATCAAAACATACATGAACCTCACCACTACTAGCTTTAACCACAGATACAAGATCAAAAAGAGACCATAGAAGTGGCTTCTTAAGCATCACCAACAATCACATTCAAATAAGAATCTAGCAAAGAGTAAACTAACATAAATCTCGCAAATTAAATCAGATCTATCCACAAAATTATTACCACATAACTCAAGATTCATAAATCAAAGTTAACACAACTTCAGAATTTCGGATCTCACGAAGATTAGATACAAAATCGGATCATAAAATCTAAGGGAAAACGAATGAGAAATAGAGATCGGAGATAGGACCTTGCCGTCGATGACGATCCAACAATCTTGGGAGCTACTGTGCTGAGAAACCTCGGCCAAGGTGAAAACTTTGCCGTCTCCGCCCATCTCCGATGATCTGCTGGTGAGTGGTGAGAGTTTCGAAGAGGAAGACGAGTATTATTAATTGGGAATCTGATTTGGGATCTTTTACCAACCGCTTTTTTGGTCTACTTTAAGTGTATATGGGGTCGGCAAAATAATCAGTGGCCAATAATCATCAATTAATCAGAGATTCCGTTTTCTTATTTATTTTAAATATTTAATTTATGTGCAAATCAAAACTATTTATAATGTCATAAAAAACTGGTACGTTTTACTTGTATTTCTAGAATTTTCTTTACAATAAAATAAATGTTTATACTAAAATATTGTTAGCTTTTTTATGTACATCAATTTAGCCAAACTCTAAACGGTTGGGTGGCTAGATGTTACTCCAATCTCATTTGTTAGGCCAGACCATTCTAACCGGGTCCAACCATTCACTCGTTAGGCCAGACCATTCTAACCGGACCCAACCATTCACTCGGTCCACAAGATCCGGTTCTTTTCTTTAGTTGTCGATAGTAGATAGTTTTTTCATGAACTAGCAATATGGACATGATGACTTATGGGAGGAAAGAGATAGGGATGTCCTCCTAAAAAACTTTCTGGCGCTTAAGTTAGAAACAGACAAAGTGACTGGTCGGAAGGTCGAGTTTAACGAAACGAAGTGTGGTTTTTAGTTATAGGCTAAATTGAATATGATCATAGACCCAATTTGTTGGCTCTAGGCTAAATTGAATATGATCATAGACCCAATTTGTTGGCTCTTTGGTTGCTCATCTGCGAGAGATATTAGAGAAAGTGGGCCTAGTATCCTCTTCTGCAAACAGGGCACTTAGATTGGCATATGTGTTCAATCCAAAGAAATAACCCAATCTACTTGATTTAATTATTAACTGAATAAATAAGATAATTACTAATTAGTATTATTTAATTTATAAATCTTAAATTTAAGTATCTACTAGACTCACGAATTCTTGAGAAACAAAGACTGAATGAAATACACAAGAGAACTCTTGGGCGTTTTGCTTCAATAGTTAAGTTTACTCTTTATGCTTACTTTTGATATCGAGTTTCATTCGTGTGTTTTGTGGAGAAATTCATGATGCTTTGTCCAATAAAACCTGTGTTTTTTTCTCGTGTTGAAATTCACATTTTTAATGCATGCTTTAGGCTCACATTGCAAGGCCTATGGTTGGTGTTCAACGAGAGAAAGAAACTACATATAACAAGTTAAAGAAGACATTGATTTTGAAGGATTGAGCCAAAAAGAGAACGAAAGAGAGCTAGAGAAGAAGAAACAAAAAGACAAAAAGCTTTCGTAATCAGTGCTCCTCTTTTTTTTGGCTTTACTCGACCAAATAGTTAAAAAGAGTCAAACAAAACATTGAAACAAGCTGAATTCAGATACTCCATTGGTCACACTGTTGATGTAAGCGAATCTATGTGTCCCAAAAACATGATTTTTCTAGTCAGTGAGCCCGTGATCAAACAAGAACCCGTGTACATACACACATCACCATATGTATGTATCATGTATGTATGCATGTATTCATGTATGTGTGTTTACGTTTCATGCATTCACTTTTTTCACTTTGAAAGATTAAAGAAAAACAAAGAACAATGATTGTGTTCGAGATAAGATTTACACAGTTTTCATCACATGGGTTTTGCCAATTTCCAAGTAACGTTAAAAAGTTAAAACAACAGAGATCTTCTCAATGAACACTGTCTCATCTTTTTGTCAGTTTCTTGTTAATAATAATTTGATATTCAAGATTCAAAACACTCTTATCTCTTTACTAATTACTACAAAACTCACCCTTATGTTCATACTTCTAACTTTTGATCTTACATTACAATATTTCAATGTATACGTCAAATTATTTACACACATTCACGTGCGTCATAATTATGGTAAGAGAAGAAAAGGGACCAATCTTGTACACTTGAAAGAAAAGGGACCAATCTTGTACACTTGAAAGAAAAGGATATGATTCAGATTTTTGCACCTACCAAAATTCACACGTGAACCTCCCAATTGGGTCTCTTTCTTCTGCATCTGAAATCATTTTTTTTTTTCACTATATGCCCAGCTTTAACATGTTCACACACATCCCCATCAATCATCATCATTACATAAAGTTTTGAATAAATAAACATGAGGGAGAGATAGAAAAAAAACACTTGAAAGAAACAGATGAGAAAATTTCACTAAGCATCTGAAGATTAGTAGTACAAATGGTGTGAGGTTTTCAAGGTCCCTAAGCTACTTTCAAAGTTGTTTTTCTAACCACATTATTACTTAAGATTACACGATTTTTGATGTTCGGTTAGTCTGTTAATTCCATCACGTTCTTTTACTTCACACCATGTCTTTTGGAGCTGTTTCCTTTTGAACTTCATGGATTGACTTGTACCCATTCGTATCGTCCGCTGAGGGGGATTTCATTCACAATGTCGAAGTTGTACCTGAAGATTTTCAAAAACAGATGAGTGTTGGTTCATCCTCTCGTAATGACACAAAACAATATTAATAAAAACATGCTTACTTCTCCATGAATAGCCTCTGTTGTTGCTGCTCTGCATAGGCAAAAAACTCCTCCAACTCACTAGTGGTCGGGATCACGCTATCTTGGTCCCTTGTGTACTCTTTGGTTGCTCTGCGCATCGACCTTGTGCTAGACCCTGGTGTAACCATGATCTCCAGATCCTCAACAAAGTTACAAGGCGTGCTCTCTCTTGTGCTGCAGACAATAAAACCAGATAAAAGTAACTTCAATAAATTTATCACCACAAAGACACTTAACCAAAGCAAGAATCAAACCAAAACTAAACATCCAGAAGAAAAAAGAGGCTTGATTTAAGTAAACAACAAAAGCTAGAGACTTTCTGAGTAATATGGTCCCATAAGATAATAACAAAGAGAAGGCAAAAACCACATTGTCAACTAGTATCAGGACGGTTACCCCAAAAAAACAGAGTATCCTACAAAAGTATTCCCCAAGTATGCAAAAACCACTAGGTCCCATGAACATGACACCACAGTACTTGCATTACACTTATGAGGAAAGTCTCAATTCTCATATAATCTTACACATTAAAAGCTTCTGACCTTTATACAACAACCCACTTTTATAAAAACGAAAACCATGTGTTTAAGTAAACCCAATAATCAAATCCTAATGCTTCCAATGCCATTAGCCCATCAACAAGGAGATTCAAAAGGTTCTTAAACCAACATAACTTTGGAATTCACAAAATTCCTCCAAATTTGTAACAAATAATGAAATATGTATAAAGAAAATAGCTTTGATACATTCATTGATAACCTCTGCAAAAAAGTACACATGGGACATACATCAATAAATCTGAAATCATGTAAATCTAACACCAAAAGAGACTTATACGGTGAAGCAGTTATAACAAAATTCAGTACATCATAAGAGAATTCACTAACCAAAAGTCCAAAACCAAACCAATAAGGGAAACATAAAAAAACCTATTTTTTTTTTGTACTAAACTATTTTCATCCCCAAAAAAAAACTAGACCTTTGAGTTGAAGCAAAACAACAAAAGTTTCAGAGATTCAAAACTATGTAAGACTCAAAACTAAGATTATTGGATAAGACAGAACAAACACACATGCCGAAGAAAAAATTAGGTCACAAAAAAAAACCAACGAACCTGTGTCTTGATTCAAAATCGAAACTGTTCTCTCCACAAGAAACCTGGGCACTCACGAAATTATCAAAACATTCATCTCCATTAGAGCTCTGAGCTACAGGAACCGAGTCAACCGAGTTAACTGAGTCAACGCGAGACCTTGAACCAGACTCTTTGATTCCCGATTTGTGAGCTCTCGGCGGCTGTTTCGGTTCAATCAGCGACGAGGGTTTCTCGAGACGGCGGCTACGGAGCTGAAGATAGCAAGAAGAGTCGTTAGGTAGAGCTGAATCAGCGGCGGAGGAATTAAGCCGCTTCAAGGCTAGGGTTTTAGCGGCTCTGGTTCGAACACCTGGAGCTGTTGCCTTAGAGACTTCCATGACACTGATATCGCCAGTAATCTTGGATTTCTTCATGTATTTCCCCATTTTTGAGAGAGGGAAAAAAGCTTGAAAGCGGAAAGAGAAAAATGGGAGGGAAAAGCTTTGAGGAAGGAGAAGAAGAGGGAAAGTGAGAAAATGGGAAAAAGGTTTTCGAGTTTTGTGGGGTTAAAATAAAGCAAAGGAAAAAGAAAAAAAAAGGGTTTCCCTTTTTTTTTTAAATATAATTGTCAAAAAACAATAAAATATTTTTATAATTAGTTTTAAATAAAACCTCAAATTCTTCATTATTCTTTTTATTTTTCATAGGTTTTATCATAAAAAAATCGTCAATATTTTATTTTTGGTTTATCAATAATTTTTGTTGACGAATAAACTTAAATTCATCATTTGACTAAAATTTGAACTTCTTATATAAAAATTGAAATTGCTAATTACATCATCGTTTGACTACGAAATTTTCTACGAACTATAACACTATAACGCGTATTGCACACAACTTTTCTACGGCATATAAATATAAATTTTTTAAAATGAATTCTCATTTATCAAATTTTATCAAATAATTTAATCATAAAAAGTATTGAAAAATTTATTGAAACAATATGAAGTTAATAGTACATACTTTTTACATATATATCAATAAACCACTAGTTACATACATTCACATATAAGATAAAATAGTTTTGTGAAGAGGACATTATTATTATGGGAAGAATAACTATTAAACGTATTTGAACGTGATGTTTTTTTCTTTGAAATTGACATACTTTTTCTCAAAAAATCGAGTCAACTGAAATTGCACCAAAAATTGCTAAGTTTACAATTTTGGTAAATCATGATTTTTATTTCTCTATTTAACAAAAAAAAATCTATACTATTTTTCCATAGTTAAATTACCATTTGGACCAACGCGTATTACACACTGCTTTTCTATTGGATATACATGTTTCTTTTAAAACATGATTTTTCGTTGATTATTTTATCAAATATATTAATCATAGAAAATGTATTGAACTTTTTATTTATTGAAATCATATAAAGTTAATAGCACATAATTTTCATTTTATATCAATAAATCACTTGTAAGATACATTAACATATAAGAGAAAATGTTTATTTGAATAAGAAATTATTCTTACATTATGGACACGAATGAATATTAAACTTACGTATTTAAACATTATATTTTTTAAAAAATATATTGATATAAATTGTTTTCAAAATTTCTAGTCAACTGACATTTCACCAAAAATCGCCATTTTTGGTATATCATTATCTTTATTTCTCGATTTAACAAAAACAAATCTGCGACTATTTTTTTCACTATTAAATACCATTTGGAACCACAATCAGTTATATACATTTCTATCTTTTAAATTAATTAGTCAATCAATCATTATTACATAAAAAAAGTTTCATCATTTTAACGCGCATTGTACACGGTAGCATGACTTCTACGTTTTATATAAATATATGATCCAACGATCTATATATACATTTTTGGATGACTTTTAGCAAATAAATCCTAGAGTTGAAATGTATTTACAAATAATGCCATTGGAGTTAATTCTTAAGATTTAAAAAAATTAATTAAAGATATTATTCTAAAGATCGTTCCTCAAATCTCCTCCAACTAATTACTTTAAAAATCTCGATAATAACTATTCCGTGATTTACTGTAATCTTCAAATATATTTGGTATGATTTCTCATAATTAAAGATCCATCATTAATTGCAATAATAAATAAAAACAATAATTTCCTTTTATTTTAAAAACTTTCTAACGACAAATGTATTGCAAAATAAATAATTTCCTAAAACAATTACAGAACCTAATAACTGTTGTAGACTTTTTAGGAAAATAATTACGTAAATATATAACTTAAAGATAACAATTACTCATCAAATCTTTTTTTTTGTTAATATTGTATCATAACAAGACCTAAATCAATGGACTACTTATTCTCTATATATAAGTGAGGTTATTTAGTCATCAAATCAATGTGCATGGTTCCACTCTCGCCGTCCCTCAGCTCTGCAAATCATTTGCTTCATTTTCTACATGTCTTGGACTAAGGTTCTTCCTATTCTTCTTTGATTTGAATCACTTACATCTCCTTTTTTTTTGATAAATCACTCACTTTCATCTTTCTATGGCTTTATGTTTGATAGCCTCACGTTGAATTGAGGAGCTTCCCAGTGTATTCGGAAACTGGTCCTTCTACGTTACCTTAATCTACATGTTTTTGTGTTTGGACAAATGAGGAAATGATTCTGATTTTTATTGTTTTGGTATATTGGTTCATGTTTGAGTGTGAAAATATTTGCAGGGTTAACCATAATCCGTTGTAGCTTCTTAATATTGATTTGGAGATGCTCTTAGTATTGATTTGAAAATTTTCTTTGGTTTGTTTACTAAAAAATATTTAGTGGTTTACCATCAAATGAAAAAATCATGTGATAAAATAACCTTTATAGATTAATCTATATTTATCAATTTTTTGAGTAAATCATTTTCTAAATATATTTATTTTAATGTAGATTAGTTAAATTATGGTTACTATTCGTTATTTGACAAACTCATTTGGCTATATTACTTATTTTAAACCAAACTCATTTTGGCAATAAATAATGTTTATTTATAAATTAGATTAACCCCCAAAAAATTATTACCAAATATATAAAGATTATTTATGTCTAAAGAATAATATGTTGATTTAGATTATTATTATTTATAAGGTTTCAAATATTATAAATATTTTAACCTTATAAGAAGTATAAATTAATAATATTTAAAGTATCTATAATATTTAATTCCATAAAAAGTTTATAATATTAATAATATTTGAACACTATAAAAATTATAAATATTTATACTATGGAACCACTTAAAAGCAAACTTTTAAATTGACTCGAATTATATGTTTTCTAAACAAATGTGTTATTAAAAAAAAATGATGTTTAATTTCACGGGACGGAGTTATATGGTGGGACGGGTTTAGATCGATAATAATACCGGAAGATATACCACGGGTTAAAATCCTAGAAATAATAATCAAAATTCAATATATAATCTTAAACACTAAACAAAACAAATAATATTAACAAAATAATTACAACTTAAAATTTAAAACTTTTTAGTTAAAAAGTCGACCCGCGGTGTACCGCGGGTTAAAATCTAGTGGTTTACAAAGAAGAAAATAAACAATTTCTTATTTACCTTAAAACATGAAAATAAAAAATATTTCGATATGATTTGTTAAACCAAGTTGATAAAAAAAAATTCTATGGAGATTGTGGTAATAACCCTAAAGAGATGTCTACCTATACTCATCATACCGCTTCTTGTGATGAATTTCGATTCATTGGAGTTTTCGTGGTACATGCAAAGAAAGGTATGATTTCGCTATTAGATTTTTGATCTAGCAACAAATCTTCAATATTAATTCTCATTTGTTTTCTAAAAACATTTATTATGCGGGATATAATCAGAAGCTGACATAGCGATTGGAGTGTGGCAAGTATAAAATACCAATCGAAACCTTTAAGAGCGAATCATCTGCAACATGTTACTACGGAGAAGAGCAATGTAGAAAGAGGCAACAAAGATGAAGGTACGTATCCGGTCCATAATAAATTGGAATTAAAATTATAATTCATGATTCTAAAATCCAATATGAGATTTGTTCTAATCCGTTCTAAAATTTAAGAAATGAGGAAGGATCGGATCTGGATTTGATTTAGATCCGTCAAAACCAGATCCAGAGTTCATGACTCTGTATATCGAATATCAAAATCTGATATGTTATATATATATTAAAATATTATTGGACTGTTACTATATTGGTATTTAATTAAAAATTATTTAATAGTAACTAATAGTGCTTTTAAGAAAAAAAAACAATTTCTTGAGTAATCGATGTTTGACAAAATTTCTCTTTTTACTTTTATTTTGTCCCATGTCGATTATATTGAGCATTTCCACAAGCTTGAGATGTTTATAAGATTGCTATTTTTGACTCTCAATGTGGTAGTGGGTTTACACATTCGAAAGCTAGGGGTGTAAGGATCCGACTTTTAACTATACGGATATGGATCCATGGCTCACGGATATCCAAAATTCGGATACTTGCTCAAAAATCAAAATATCCACGGATATCCAGATTCGTAAAAGTACAATTAAAATATTAGAAATAATGATCTAATCAGCATTTTTAATAATGTTTTATTAGAAAAACAAAAATCTGAGACTATCCAAATCTTTTAAATTTATTTAATTAGTTTTTAATATAAATCTCAATATATTTTAAAATTTTACAGTATAATATATTTTTTTAATGTAATTTAAGAATCAAGATCATGATATGTGGTTCTTAAAATCAAGATATACGTATCCGTAAATTCATTATTCGGATCCGGATCCGACTACCTTGGATCCGGTTTTCTGGATCAGGCCGGAGAGAATTTCGGATCGGATCTATGATCCCGAATAATAGTCGCCTATCGAAAATTTATATATCTAAAATCTTTTAATGGCAAACTAAATATTAAAAGTTCAGTTTTTTTTTTAATTACATTTACTCTGATCCGAATTTAGATACATATATATATATATATACTAAACCACAAATTTGATATCTGAAGTGTAGATATTTGGAAACAATGAATTTGGATCTAAATATTTCAAATTTCTTATGTTAAAATACAAAAGCAAATCAACTACTATTAGCTGAAAATCCATTTAGGATAATTAGAAAGTCCAATTAGAAAATCCATATAGTGTTTGTTGAATAAGATTCATGGTCCATACTATTAACCACATAGTCCCCAATTATTCAGCTCAAGCATTAAGGTTCATTTTATTTTGATTAAATAATAGGGTTTTGTGTGGTACAATTTTTTTTATCCCGAAGTAAAATTTACAACCAATTTTACCTTTTTCTCTTTCATGAAAAGATCTTCTTTTTGGGGTTTTATTTCAAAGACAAAATAAATAAAAACCTAGATTTCTTTTTGTTTAGTATTTTTACAAAGTTCAGTATATTTCATAAATTATCTATTGAGAATTTACTTGTATTTCACTTTTAATTATAAACTATGTCTAAACTGCATAAATATATATATATATGTACAAGAGCACATGTATATCATATTTGAACTTTAATTCTTTCAATATATCCTACTTACAACACATTAGGAGACCATTATTAGAAAGCTACCGTATCATCTATGTTAATTTTGTTCTTGGTTTTATTTCCACTGCTAGGTTTAGTGAAAACATACTCTTTCTCTCTAGCTTTCAATATTATTTGTGTTGCGCTTGTATCACTTTTGGAATTTGTACTAGAAAATTGAGCTTAGGATTTACATTTTTCCAAATTCACTCCAATGTGAAAAATTTAGCAATTTTTAAACTGTTTGCTTTAGCAAATTCTTTCCAACCTTTTCCCAAACTCATTCTTCTAGTGCTTTCTCGTAGAAGATTTGTCATCTATATTCTATCTTTTCCAACAAAGTTATAATCCTAGATTAATTCATGCCAATTTCTCTTATGAATGGAAATGGTGAAAACCCTCAAAAAGATTTGACGGCAATTTTGTTGGAAACAAATGGTGCAAAATAGATAGAAAATTTCGAAAAACACATGAAGAATTAGTTCGGAAATGGGTTGGGAAGAATTTTCTAAAGAAAACGGCTCAGAGATTAGTAACTCGTTCACAACAAATTAGTCGACTTGGAAATATCCAACCCGATGCTTAGTGTTTCAAGTACAGAGTCCGAAAGTGATACAAGGCAACAAGGAGAATATTTTCAAAATCTAGCACGTAAGAATCTTTTTCCAATGAACTTAGCAATAAAATAAAACCATAAATTAAAAACTAAACATAGAGGAGATGAGTAATTCATCTTTAATCATCTAAAACCAATTTAAGACATTAGCACAACAATAAATTTTATGATCTACTAAGAAATGAAGATCCAATGTAGCTTTCACAAGAGAATCCAAATTACAATGTCGATACCTACGCCGAGAATAATTAAAGTAGTAGAGGTAGACAAGATTTGGTGTGTCAAGTCAAATGTTATTTCCAACAAAACAATTAGGAGACTCTCCATCATTATAAACTTGCTCATGATGATGATTGTACGCGCTAAGCTTCCCTTGAGACACGAAATCGGGTCAACCTCTACTACTCTAGTTATGCTCGGCGTAGGTATCGACATCGTAATTTGGATTCTCTTGTGAAAGCTAGATTTGATCTTTATTTCTTAGTAGAACATAAAAATTGTTGTTGTGCTAATGTCTTGAATTGGTTTTAGATGATTAAAGATGAATTACTCATCTCCTCTATGTTTGTTTTTAATTTCTGGTTTTGTTTCTATTGCTAAGTTCTTTGGAAACAGATTCTTACGTGCTAGATTTTGAAAATACTCTCCTTACTGTCTTGTATCACTTTCGAACTAGGTATCAATATCGTAACCAGCAAGAATCACATCAGAGGACTCTTTTCTGCCAAACCAAACTGAATCAAAGCAGATAATCTTTAGTATTGGAAAGACGTATCAGATGAAATATTGTCGATGCTAAATTATGTTCCCAATGTTAGATTAACCATTGTTTTGCTGATGAATGAATTGGATGGCAAAAGACCTAGCATTTCATATGTTAAGCATAGGAGAAGCTCAGAGACATATGAAATGCGAGGTCTTTTTCCATCCAATTCATTCATCAGAAAAAAAAATGGTTAAGCTAAAAATATTGGGAACAAAACTTAGCATCGACAGTATTCCATTTGATATGTTTCTTCCATTCTCTAAAGTTGTCAAAGCGTGTACATTAGTAAGTTTGTAGAAAAATTCTCTCTAAGATGGATTAGTTTTTATTTTGAGTTTTGATCAATAATTAGAAGTGTTTATTCAAATATTTTGTAGCATCTTCCAAATCAATTAATGAAAGATAATGAGATAGACAATATTGGAGAAATAACTCTGTTAATAGATCAAATTGTATTTGTATTATGGAGCTTGATAAAATTTCTTGAGGCTAATGGCGTAAAGACATGAGAGTTATTACTTTTAAAACTCACTAGATGAGTATCTGCACGATGTGGGACATTATATGGTAGTTTATTGAGTTACTTGCCTTGTATTTTAAGCTTAGTAATTCCATAAGAAACTAAGTCAAATTTGTAATACACATACATCACCATTATTCTTCAGTTTATTGGTTTTGTAGGTAACTCATCTTGATCATTATCTTTGTTTCTCATGACATCATCAATGTATGTCAAAGACTTTGAAGAATGATAACCTTTCATCATTGGAATCCATTTAGATGTCTATCATTTGCGTGTTCTTTGTTGTCTAATTAAAAACATTTAATGAAAAAATCCAATAGGACAAAAACAATGATAAAGGAAAAAGAGTATAACCACGCATAAAATCATATATTTTCCTAGGCCTGGGCATTCGGGTACCCGTTCGGGTTCGGTTCTTTTTTTTCAGGTATCGGGTCTATTCGGGTAGGGGGTCAAGACCCATTCGGGTATTATAAAAATTCGGTTCGGGTTCGGTTCGGGTTCGGGTATTTTAATAAAAAAAGCAAAATACCCGAAAATAACCAAAAATACCCGAAATATTTTCGGGTTCGGGTCGGTTTCGGGTTTTTAACTCATATATACCCAAATCTAACCGAAATACCCGATTTCTCGAAAATACATTGGTTACTCTTTACCCAAATATAACCAAAAATATCTAAAAATACTAAAATTACCCAAAAGAAAACTACATCATTAGTTACTTTTTAACCAAATATATCCAAATGTATCTGAATTACTCAAAAATACCTAATATATTCGGATTTATGATTGTAATTTTAGGTATTCCGGGTATTATAAATATAAATATAACTAATATTTTTAGGTGTATATTTGTATTCGGGTACATTCGGGTATTGGATTCGGTTCGGGTTCGGTTCGGGTTTTTTTCGGGTAGGAGGTTAGGACCCATTCGGGTATTTTTAAACATCGGGTTCGGGTTCGGCTCGGGTATTTTTCGGGTTTTTCGGTTCGGGTATTCGGTTCCGGGTATTTTGCCCGGGCCTATATTTTCCCTTGAAAGCATCATCTTCAGAATATGCATTATGATCATATATATTATCCTTTCGACAATCATTATATTCAGAGTCTTAGTAAACAAACTGGTATGATTGTCATATAACCTTTAGGATCATGAGAGTTTTGGTTCTTTGTATCTCTTCTTACACCGAATAATATTTTATTTGTCTATATGAACTTCAAGTCCAAATTTCTTGAAAGCATCATCTTCAGGATATGCATTATGATCATATATATTATCCTTTCGACAATCATTATATTCAGAGTCTTAGTAAACAAACTGGTATGATTGTCATATAACCTTTAGGATCATGAGAGTTTTGGTTCTTTGTATATCTTCTTACACCGAATAATATTTTATTTGTCTATATGAACTTCAAGTCCAAATTTCTTTCGACATATATTCTTCTAAACATTCGTCTTGTACATATGAGTTATTCATGCTTATCATATAAAACTACGATTTTAGCTTTTTGCCTATTATTCTTCTGGACCAAATATATGTGACTATTTTCCATGTAAAGTCCTTCAAGGATCTTTGTAACAACATCTCTTTTGCTAGATGTCTAATTTGAAATTCCAAAAAAATTTTTGAAGACTCGGATTCTTGCACAATCTTATTTCTACGTCTTCCTGAAGAATGATTTCATCTCAAAATTATTTCTTTAAATATTTCACTGTATATAAAATCACCACAGGAGAATCGATAATGTTTAAATCATCAACATATTTTGTACTTATTCTTGTACCCTTCTTTTGACAAGTACTAACTAAGGCAATTATCTTTCATCCATCCTCATTATATCAATCTATAACAACATTGATTTAATTTCATAAATATAGTTATATTTTTGAGAACTATAATTTGTTGCTTCTAGCAATAGAATCCTTCAAGGCAGCATCTATCTTTCAGGGCAGATTCTATCCTTTACGATCTTCTGGGCAATATTTAGATGGGAAATGTCTAGTCTATGACCTAGACCAATTGTAATGAAAAAACTCATCTTTCGCCTGATGCAAGTTAATAGACATATAATAGTCAGTTCCCTTGACCTTTCATTTACACTAGATGAATTCCCACGCTACGCGTGGGTTTGTTTTGAAAATTGTTAAGATAAAAATATATAAATTGTCTTTGTCGCTAATTTATGTTTTTTTTATTATTGTATAGTTAATAAAATTAGACTCATCTTATATACTTACAATTTTTATTTTTAGATTTGTTTTTGACTCTAAATATCAATTTATACATTTTCATGTATAATCTGATTATTTTTATATCTAAGATTCTAATATTTGTTCATTATCATGAATACACACAACAAAAATATAAGATATTATGAAAATAAGAAAAAAGAAAGCAAAAATCAAAGAGTTATTTAAGTAACATTTTTAGATTTTATGTTATTACATATAGACATATAAGAGGAATAGATTTGTCTTGAATTTCGTGGTATGTCTAACGTCTCAAAAGCTCATTACTTGAAAAAATTTGCATGTCAATGTTACGAACATACCATAAGACACAAAAATGAAAAGAGAGAATATCATATTATAAGATATGAACCATAACGTAATAATAAAAAAAATATTCAAGGTAAAATTACTAAACTAATAAGATATTAGGTAGTAAACAACTAAACTATAATACAAATAATTATTTAGTCATTATCGAGTAATGACCATTGACCATTAAATTTAAAAAAATAGAAAAATAATAAAAGTAAAATGAAAGTAGTAATTGATTTCTAAAAATAATTTTATTTTTAATTTTATTTTGAAGAAATTATTTAAGAAAGGGATTAATGGAGGATTTAATACAATATGAAACTTTTGATTTTCCCTCAATTAATTTTGCTGATTTTTAATTTAAATAATGTTGAATGACACATGTCATTTTCTTGTGTGATGATGTGGCACTCATATGGAGAGAGTTGGCCAACTTTTCTATATATGATTCTGATTGACGCTACCCGGTCCACTCAAAGCTTGAAGGATGAAGAGGTCGACCTCTGTTTTTTAACATATCTTTGCTTAACATGGTTCGACAAAAGAAAGAGGTGGAAAATGGACCACGATCTTTTCATTTATTATGAACCCAAACAATTGATTCAATAAGTCCTTGCCAATACCCACGCCCGAATCGAAGGACACTTTAGTAGGCGACAGTCTGGCTCTTTTTTCTTTCGCCTCGTCTTGATCAAAAGTTACTTAAGACATGGTTTCATCACCATTATCCATTAACCAAATACTCTCGCAAACTACATGTTGCTAGTTTATAGCAAGAATATATGGTGGATGACCAGTCCACAATATCTCCTCGTATACGTACAAACAAATTGACATTATCCAAATTCATGGAGTTGGTGAAAGCCATATAATCGGCTTGCTTTGTGAACAAGCAGCACACAAGGATTCATTAAGAAAAATCTTTGTTCTCTAATAAATATCCATATAAATTTTCGATTATACTTTCACATTACTATTGAACCGGAATGGCTTAACCGATCATGCCAAATAGCAAGATTTTCAAATTTATCTTCTAGATATTATAAGTAAAATACATTCACATAACTCAATCAATCATCATCATTGACTCGTTCGTTCTATCATGCCATTAAATTAGATTCTCAACTAAGCAATCAAGTTACCAAACAAACTCATATGACAATTAAATAAAAATTTCAAACAAGATGATTAGACCGTACATGAGAACCAACAAGCAGCATGTAATGTAACCATGTAAATTTTCAATGCAAAGTCTGCAAAATTATGTTCATGCAAAATTCATATAAATCAATTTAGGATGAAAAGATTTTTATGATAAAACCAAAGATTTCATTTAATCATTAAAAAATATTGTTATATCATTAATTAATTAATCATTAGATACGATTTAACACAAAATATCATGATTTATCTAAATCAGTTTAATTAGAGTAATGCGGAAAGCATTTAGGAGTTTCATATATAAGATGTTAGCCTTTTACGAGTGTATGAAGAGGAGACTTAACAGATTTATTATGTTGCATGTAAGGCTTCCGTTTGAAAAGCAGGGTCACTTCCACTTCTTCAACGAAATTGAACACAATTTCCTTTATTTGTCTCAATGGTTGTATTTGAAATTTCTATCTCTCTTTGATGACCGCCGTTGCGGTAACCAGCCCCACCAATGTTGATACCACCAATGGCGGACCCAAAAATAAATTTTATCCGAGTCAATATTTTTCTAAAAAAATATTTTTATAAGCACATAAAAAAGGTATATTAAAGGTTGTTAATTTTATAATTCTCTAGAGTATATAAGATTAAAAAAAATGTATTTTAAGTTGAAATGGGAAAAAAAAAAACTAAATGTATTATAGTGGCTACTCGAACCCGAGTTTGGGTGTGTCATTTACTTAGAAAATGTCAAGCTGTTAAAACTTTTAGAATTTATATGCACAAAAGCGTATTGTTTATTTTACCTGAGTCAGGTGACCCCTCTTCATTGTTAGTGGGTCCACCCCTGGATAACACCACACTTTCTATATTTTGGCCGTGGTTATAGTGGTAATCGACGATTGATAATGAATAGTTTTTGTATAATTTCATGTTATTTTTAATATTAATTAATTTTTTTGTTTGACTTGTTATTATATAAGTATATGTTATTGTTATGTTTTGCACAATATCTTTTCAAATGAAATGGTATTTGTGTATATAACATGCTATTTTTGTAAAATGTACGTTATGAAAGTAGCTTTTTGATAAATGTCATGCTATTTTAACATGTTTCACGCTATTTGTTAAAAATTTCTTATATCTATTATTTTTTCTCCTCAAAAACTTGCTCTTAGTTCAACTTACATGAACATATTTATTTTTTATTGTATCATCATATAATTATTTACCTATAAAAAACTGATAGTAATTATTTACTTATTTTGATTAAAAATTTGAATATCTTATAATATTACTCTTATTATAACAGTCACAAATACTAACATCAATTCTAAATATATTGACACATATTGGTAATTGACACACATACCTAGGTAGCACGTAAATTTCCTAATTTGCATAAGACAAAAAAAAAAAAAAAACAGAAGCACAAGAACATTGGTAATGTTGTTGAAGCAATGGAATCAATGCCAACACTCAACAGTTAAAAATCATATTTCATCAATTTATCACTTACCATACAAGAATAATCAAAAGAACACCAAAAAATGAGGTCGACGCAAAAATTTACCATCAAGGTTATATGAGATTTCACTTCCAACGGAGAGACTGTCTAATGCCGGTGAAGATGAGTCCGACTGATCTACCTATCAAGGTGACGAGAAAGAAGGATATGACGCTACTCACTTTATCCAACACCACTCTGATAATTGGCATTCCGATGTCTGACAACTCCAGAAACAGACTGAAGTAGTACCTCCTGTACACATCAAACACTTTCTTATGAGAAATTCTCATGGAATTTTTGGTTTTGTGGTCAAGGTAAAAGAAGAGAGGTTTACCATCCCGATAGAGCTTTAAGCTCCTTGGTTCGTTTAACGGGCAATGAAAAATCGCTGATTATGGAGTATCGCATGGGTGATGATGAGGCAGCTTTAGTTTTTCCCAGTTTGAACTTTCTCCACCAACTAAGGCTTTCTGTATCGTCACTACCATCAAGGTTGTTGATAACCTGAGTTTTAAGAATGTAGAGGTCAAAGCGATCCTCATACATCGATACAACTGCTTCCATATTCTGATGCAACCACTGGTATAGAGCTACCTATCAACAAGAATAAATGAAATCTAAGTCCATGAGAGATGAAACGTAAGGTGGAACTAAACAAAAGTGAAGTGGGTTTTTTACCTCGTTACGTAGTTTTTGGAGTGCTCGACTAGAAAGGCTACAGATACCTAATCCTCCACTATTCATTTCATTTGAAAATTTGCTGTCTACAGAAATGAGCTCTAGATAGATGCTAGCGACCCCATCCGCCAATGTTATCATGAAATCTTCCAAAATGGCAACTCCGTGAGTGCGAAAGAAGCTAACGTCGTAGCAGAAAGCTTTTGCAGGAGATCCAAATCTGTGGAAATATAAAAATTCTGCAAACAGATCCTCCTTGCCTGATTTTCTTATTTTGCCAAAAATAGCGTCCTTTTCATTTAGCATTCTGATCAGCAAAGGAGTAATCGCCTGCACATCACGGGCTAGATTCGGGAGTTCATTCTAAATCTGCTATTCATACTGAAAGAAACAAAATAGAATACAATTTTGTAGCCACACTACACGTTATATGACATCTACTTACCTCAGAATCAGTGTTTCCCACAGATAGTTCCCTTTTAAGCCAAGCCGTGCATGCTGCTTGATAAGCTTTCCGAACAATTTGAGTAAAACCAATCATCCACTCATCTGAATTGATTGTGTCAGATATGTTATTTGTCTGAAAAGCAAATACACCAGCTGATCAGCACATATGGAGAATCACATCAAACTAATGTCTTGAATGTTACTAAAGGTAGAGAATAACAAATATTAATACTAGAGCGGAAGGAAACAATTAATATGTCAGTAAGGACTTGCCACAGGTATTTGATACATTTTAACATTGTGACATAGACTGGTATCTGCTACAATAGAACGGACATTGATGCAATTACTTAACTCAAAGTGCACATGTTGATACTCTACTTTTTATAATAAGATATGCCCCCGAACTAGAAATCATTGGAATCTCTTGAAAACAAATATGCGCAAAGTGAAATACTGGAGAAAGAAGGTGCAAGCTGACCTCTTCTTCAAGTTTCTGAAAACATGACCAGAGCAAGTACAACTGAGGCCCCTCAGAAATCGCATACAAACTCAATGGGGGCTTCCCTTGGGGAGGTTTGGGTTTGAGAACTTTGCTTCCAAGTGTACTCTCACGCTTGATGGCGTCTAAAGAATCTAAAAGTTTTACTTTCACCACATCCCATACAGACTTCAAATCACCCTCAAAATCTGTCTCCCTAAAGTCAATGCATAGAAGAAAGGATGTGTGTAAATACACAACACTATACCTTACAGCTATAATAGAACAGAGATATCATTCACATTTGGAATTTCTTTCGGATGACTACTCTTACCTACCAGAAGATTCTGAAGTTCCAACTTCTGGATCCTCCTCCACAGTAGTATTCTTTCTAGAAGAGTAACTAGAGTTCTTTTGAACAGGAATCACTCCAGCCATATACGTAAGAAAGATACTAGCCGTCAGAAGAACTTGGTCACCAATAGGAACCCAACCAGAACCAGCAACACCATCAAAATCCGCCAGAGATGCCAAACAAGTACACTTACAAGTAGACTCTCCCCGAGAAATAGACGATCCAAGATTCAAGGAAGTATCCCTCGATATGATCTTGCAACTCCCAAAAGTCTTCCTACAAATAGAAGCCATGATTAAACACAATAGTGATACATTATCACTTGTTAAACCATTTCATATGCTAAAGAAGAGATACTGAGATCAAACCTTTGGGAAATTTTCACACGAGGATTCGTGGAGAAGTGAACATTGTGCATCCGTAGCTGAACGCACAATGATGGAGACACAACAACATGTCCAACCATTGGTAAAAGAAACCTTAGAACTCGCAACTAAAGCATTTCCTAATCACGGGAAACAGATCCTCAAGCCCAATCTCTACATCACAAAGAAGAAGAAATCAAATTCCAGAATCTAATTGAGCTATAGAATTTGAGGTTTGAATCCAGTTCTAGCACCAAGATACAGATGTGAAACTAGTAGATTCCAGTGTCAATGGCATAAGACAATCCGAAGAAACACCAATTACAAGCAAAATAGAACAAGGAAACCAGTCTACAGTGATATTCAAGAGTCAAAAGGACGAGACTCACATTAGAGTGAAAAGTAGCAAACAAACCTCAAATTAGCAGAGAAGAGAAGAGCAACAAGGAGCAGGGAAGAAGAAGCGGATTGGGCTTGTGCGTACATGAAAAGTTTCTCTCTTTCGTCGCGAATCGATAGTGTTGACAACATGAATATTTGTTTCTAAAGAGAATCAACAATCGGGGTGGTGGCGCAGTTGGCTAGCGCGTAGGTCTCATAGCTATCTGAGTAATCCTGAGGTCGAGAGTTCGAGCCTCTCTCACCCCATTATATTTTGTTTTATTTTATCTTTCTTTGAATTGGTGAGAAGGAGCAAATTAGTAACTTGATTTCTGTTTTAGAATGAGCTCAATTAAGAGCAAGAGGCTATGTTTTGCTCCTAATTTTGGTCGGCTTTGTTTTTAGGCATTTTCATCTTCTTCCTTGTATCTGGACTTTGTAAACTGGACTGGACTTTGAAACTTTCATGTCATTGGGTGTTTTGAAAACCATTTGAGAAGAGTATTTTCAATCTTTCTTAGTGATAAAGTGGACATTTGCTTAAGCAATGCTAAAAAGAGCGGTCAAGTTTGTGGTTTTGAACTTTTGGTTTAGATTTCTTTCAATCTACTTGATATGTCCATTGTGTTACATATCAAGTACAAGGACCTTGTCTAAGTGATTGAATATCATTATGTTCTGCAGTTATCTATCGATCCCCATCAGACAGGTCTTTCTATCTAAGTAATATACATGTATAAGATGAATCTCTATCATAGCCAACTTGTGAAGTATAATTTATTCCTACTTGCGTATAGAATAACAAAGCTGTGTGTAAATTTCAAAACTCAAACACTCAGGTTTGCAATGAAAAGAGGTTATAACAGATACAATGAGAATGTGCAAATATCATTCCTGCTTCCATCCTGTCTCTTACATACCAACATAATGAAGCTGTGATAGTTTACGTTGATTCTCATCAATCTTCTCGATTTGCAAAGGTTTCTTCCGCATCCAAATTCATTAGCTTCAAACAAAGCTTCCAAGTTTTGTTATGAAGTTTGATGCAGACATTTAGATCTAAAGAGAGACATCGATCTCAATGTTGTCTATGAGCCTCACCGTTCCAAACCAAGCAGCAACACAAATCACTACTCCACTCTTTATCTCTTCTACTCCTTCAAGAGTTTCTTGGTCAACAATCTGCATATACACACAATCAATGCTCACATGATAACTAAATGGTAATGTGTAGCGAATCTTTTCACAACAGATTGATCCACTTCCAACACGATGAGATGTTTACCTCGACATAATCTACTCGTCCTGCAGATCCAACAAGTTGTTTAATGATCATATCCTTAAGCTCTGCACAACTGGTTTTCCCTTCTGCTACAGAAGCTTTAGCCATGGCCAGTGACCTACTAATAGACAACGCCTACCATATAATAACAAATCAACAGAAACAAAGTAAGCCACTTTCTTGATCCTTGTTCAAATGCCAGAAAAACATGGAATTGTTACATTTACCCTTTGCCTTTCTTCATCTGAAAGACGCACATTTCTCGAACTCATTGCAAGCCCATCTTTTTCTCTAGCTATATCTGATCCTACAATCTCTATTCCAAAATCAAGATCTCGAACCTACATAACAACACAATCAAATCTGAAATTAGTGCAAGAACAACTCGAAATCTCACAAGTATACAGCAACAAGAGAGGATTTGTAAAGAGATTTTGCACAAAATCTTTCCTAAAAACAATCCAAAAACTGTGCAAAATGTTCCCAATTCTCACCATTCTCTGTATAATACGCCATTGTTGATAATCCTTTTTACCAAACACAGCAACATCAGGCTCAACAATATTAAAAAGCTTAGTAACAATAGTGGCAACACCTCTAAAGAACACAGGCCTACTCTTCCCACACAAACCTTTCTCCAATCTCTCAACCCTAATCCACGTCTCATGCCCTAATCCACCTTCCTCTACACAACTCAAAACCCTCCCACCACCACCACCACCGTCATTTATCTTCTTGGTCTCACCGCCGTAATCGTAGAGGTTTTTGGGGTTAAAGACGACGACTTTACCACCGGAAATAGCCGCGAGCTTGGTGAGATCGCCGGAGAAATCAGATGGGTAAGTGGAGAGGTCTTCAGTGGAAGAGAATTGGCCTGGATTGACGTAGATTGAGACGACGGTGACGTCAGTGAGGGTTAAGGATTGACGAACGAGAGATAAGTGACCTTCGTGGAGGTAACCCATTGTTGGTACTAAACCAATGGTCTTGCCTTGTAATCTCATGGCTCGAGACCATTTTCTCATCGAGTCTTTGTCTCTGATTACTTCTGGTTCCATTGTCGGAGATCTGCGATCGTCTTCCGACGAGTGTTTCTCGTAAAGAAGATACAATAAATGGAATTATCTAAACCCAAAATTAATCGCAAACCAAAATTAACCAATTATATAGTAAAATCTAGGGGATTTGATGATTGGTTAAACATAAACCGAATTTGAATTTTGTTGAAGTATTCCGGTTTGTTTTCGATAGATTTCTCGAACCAAAATTGTAGCCAGTCTAAAAACATGGTTACATTCTTCGCATAAAATTTCGTTTTGATTGGTAACCATGTACGGTTGTGATACAGGATGTACCGCTTTAACAATTACCAATCACAAAAGCGTTACTAAAAACGTTACCAAAAACGTTACTCTCAACTTTTTCGTACATTTTTATGTATCACTTTTTCTTACAGTTTTGCATTATTCCGTAAAAAATTTACTACTTCAGCTTTCGGCTAAAATTTTTGTACAGCTTTGTGTTTTTCATTCTATTTTCGCTAAAAGTATTCTTGTATTCGGGATACTGAGAGATTTTGCAAAATCTTGGAAACTTAAATGACTTTATTCCCATTATTATTGTTGTATATATACAAAGTCACTATAGAGAAACATAACACATATTTACCAACTCATCAAAACTAAAGCAGCAAAGATATATGATACATAAGAAAAAAAAAAACACAAAATGAATAAACTAGCAAACTAATGTATTTCTAAAAGACGAGATCTGTTCGAAGATTGGGAGTCTCTTCGATTTAAAACTAGTGGATGTCATCTGTTCAAGCCCAAGAACAAAATCATCGTCTAAGATATTCCCCAAGACATCCTCCATCTCAGCATCTCCCATCCGTGGCAGTGAAGACTCTAATTCACTCAGAAGCTCTTCGGCCCGTTGCCTTGTTCTACAATCATCCGCACCCAAAACCCTTGACTCGAGAACATCATCAAGAACCAATCTTCCCTCCTCAAACCTGCCTTGTTTGATAAGGCACATCGCAAGGTTGCACGATTTGTTTGCATCTGGCTCAACCATCTGGGCTTTTCTGTATACCGCCTCTGCCGACAAGTACTTGGCTTGTTGCATATATGCCCACCCCAAGTTACCCTGTATATGAGTTCCAATAAAATCAATTAGTCCATTGGAAAAAAGAAACACTAAGTGAAATTAGACACAAATCGAGTTGGCCAAATAGTTACGTACCAGTAATCTTGAGATTTCTTGTTGAACGGTCACTTGAAATTTTTTGCCGTGAGAGCGAGCGGTCTTGGTGGGTTTACCGTTGAAAGCCTCCCCTTGATAGATCTGCCTTAGCTTCCTCTTCAACAACTCAACTTGCTCCTCCATTCTACCGCATTTCTATTCATAGTAAGAAATTGCGCCGTGTGAGTGTATAATAAAGGACTATTATCATTTTTATACAACTCGAAGATTCTAGATCGAAATCCAGACTAATCTTAATTTGTAGTGTCTATTTAAATTCCACAAATAAATTATGTTAGGGAGTATGATTATAGTAAGACCTTGTATAAGTCGATGAGGACATTGTCAAGGGAATCTTGAGAATTCTTGGAACAACGAGGACGGAAGGATTTGATAGCTTCGATGGCTTCTTCGGAACGGTCAAGTTGTTTCATTACAACAGCCATGTCCTTAAGAGCACTGTCTACTCTGTCTCCAGTGTTGATGGCTTTCCAAAACCACACGATTGCCATCTCCGGGTTCTTCTCTATCAACTGCAACCAACATTAAGACATACTACTAATTATTAATAACCTTACTTTACCATTCTCATCTAGAAATACATTAATGTGTTTGACCAGTTAGGATATGAAGCGTTGGACCAATAAAAAATGTGAAGAATAATATTCTGTGAAACGTAGAAGACTTTTTGCACTATTGTTAGGGAAAGTAAACGAGAATCCGGACCGACCGGTGCGACGAGTGACTCTCATACGCACACGGCAACATCTAGACTATAAATTGGAACAATTTACTTTTTTTTTTTTTTGCTAAATCAGCTAAAAATAACTTCAGTTATGGAATAAATTTAGACACGTTATTTGAAATTAAATTTAAGAAAATTACTTTCATTTTTCCATCGGTGGATTTTTCACAACTGTTCCTTTTTTAACCGAAAAATAGCTCATACATTTTTTTCCTACTAAAAGTTACATACAAAATTTTTTGGTTAGATTTTTTTTTTGGTGTTTACAAAAAAAGATTATTTTTTTGGTGTTTACAAAAAAAGATTATTTTTTTGGTTAATTTGCTAGATAACTAAGTTTTGGGAGCACACTTTTAAAAATAATGTAGTGGCAAAACTGTAAATAAGTGGATATTAATTTTGCGCATGTTTTTTTCTTTTAAATTATGTGATACCATGTAAAATAAAAATAGCATGATATTTGTTTAAAACATATGAAAAATTTATTCCAGTTGTTTTCGATATTTTCATATTTTCTTTTGCAAATAAACCTGAGTAACATATATATATATATATATATATATATATATATATAGAACATATATATATATATATACTGTTTTTTCTTTTTTACTAGATCACCTAAAATTTTCTTTTAGCATGTTTATTAGGTAAATTATCTATTTTTTTAGGGCAATAACATCCAATCCAAATTACACCAATATGCACACCAAACATAGCTATTTCTACCTTGAACAATATCTTCTACCATCACTAATTTCGTTACTATCAAAGCCCATAAAAATAAAATTAAGGACATAGATTTAACATATGAAAGAACGAGTAACCTTTCAAAATTTGTAGATTCATAAACAACAACACGAAAAAAAACATCAAATCAAGAATTGATAAAGAATCTGGACCTGAGCATGTTTGGCTCTGACATAAGGAGTATCTCCACAAGGAACTTTGTGAATCACATGAAACATTTCATCATCTTTCATAAGATTGCTCTTTATCGAGTTGTTGTAATTGTTCTTCATCTTCTTCAAGCTTCTATCCATATTTTTCTCTGTTTCTCTCTTTCTCTGAATAATTAATTAATTATACAGATGTGTCTATTGACAGGCTGGGAAAGACAACCTCTGCACTTGATCTTAAATATGCGTACGTTTGTTACTGTAAGAAATGAATTTGGACAATATTTCGGCTCTGTTCATAGAAGCTGCCACGTCACTTCGAGACTTCTTACCACGTAGGTGAACGAGCAAAACGTGTTCTTTTACAATTGGCTTTGTCTTTTTCTACATTTTTGGTGTCTTTTATGTATAAATTAGCTTTTTAACCGTCGAAAGATTCTATTACGGTGTAGCAAAAAAAAAAAAACTCTCGATGTTCTTGTACCCATCAATTCTGACTTTTCGGTCAAATACTTTAGCTAAACTCGGTTTCAGCTAAAATAAAAAACTTATTGATTTAGTTTATGATAGAAAAAACGGCTAATTCATAAATAACTTCAGGATTTTGTTGCTATGTTTATTTTAATTCTGAAGTTTTGTAAAGTTGGTACACAAATTATATAATTTGGTCTGAATATCTTGACCAAATTGTCTAAATTTCCACACTCGCTTCCTATGGGATACATGTGGGATGCATCCGTTGACATCATCAGTAGGCGGGACAAATGGTGCCACAGCTGTTCCATTTATGGCAGAGAAGTTTGCGGTGGCTCAAGATCTCATGGCTCGGGATTTGACTAACAAATTAAATGAGAATATTTTTTTGAAGTAATACTTTTAGAATTAATTAGCTGAGAGACAACCATTTTTGATGAAATAAAAGTTTTGGTAATATGAGCCGGAGTTCAAAACAATGAAAATACTTAGCCTCTTTATTCTAATGAATACTCACGCTATGCGTGAGTTTGTTTTAAAAGTTGTTAATAACAAATTATTTTGATTGTTCTTGTTGCTAGTTAATCACCCGTTTTACGCCTCGGTTTTTCCGGTTTTTTTTTTATTTTGATTTATTTGATGTTATATTTTGATAAATGTAATTTTTAATTATCTAATCATTTACTCATACAATGAACAACTACTCTTAGTATTAAAATACATTTTCAACCAACATACTCAACAATGCATCACTCACACAATCCGTAAACAATCTTTCCTAAACCAATTTTATAGATGGTAATGTTGGGATTATAGAACCTCCAAAATTTGATGAACTTACGTACTCTTCACCCTCAGTGTCATATATAGATCAAAAAAATAAGAGAAAAACTTACTCAAACCATTAGCTAATCCACTATACTATTATCCACTCATATTTTGAGTTAAGATTACAAAAATTAGCGGAAAAAAACTTTGGAGTATATATGACCAATAAAATAATTTCATGGAAAAATAACATAAAATAACAAAATAAGTTAGTATTAGTAAAAATCAATATGTAAAAAAATTAAATAATATATAGAATTAAATAAGAAATATATTATTAACTTGTGAAATAGATTTTCAAATTCATATGGGCCATCCCTCATGGGCTATTGTGTTTTCCCCATTTGACATTTATAATTAAGAGTTGATGTGTAAAAAATAAAAGATGACTCATATTAATGAAATGTTTTAATTGGATGGAAAGAAAGCTGATGTGGCATCTCCAGAAGAGCCTAAAATGCTGACGTGGTGACCATATGGAGAGAGATAACCTCCTTTCATATATATGATTTTATTCTTACGCGTCAGAGCAATCTGATCTAAAAAAAATAGACCATTACATGAGACGATGTAGAGAATTTATGTCGTTTTCGAAATAGTAAAGCGTGTATGTCTCGTCTGACCCTTGGTTATCGTCTGACTCTTGGTTACCATTATACATTTATGTATTTATATACATGTTCATTCATTAGCTATAGAAATCTATATTTATAAATACACGTCTATTTGTTTATGTACAACTACATATACAGTGAGTCAGTCAACTATGGCAATCCAAGGTTTTATACATGCTCTTGTACTTGTTTTTCGTGGAGACTGTCCCGACCGCGCTTTCAGCAGTTGGTGATGGAACCAACCCAAAATCTGGCGATGAAGATGTCTTTCCTGTAACTTATTTGAAATTAGACAAAGTATGAGATTTAGATGGATAAGATGAGATATATTATACATTCATGTATTTATATACATGTTCATTCATTAATCAGAGGTATCTATATTTATAAATTAAATGCACATATACTTGCTTATGTACTACTACATATACAATGAGTAAATTGTTAACTATGTAGACGTATATATTAAAATGTGGATGTTTAAGTACATC